ACCACCAAGCAGAAGGCACGTTGAAAGGCAGTGCTCATCCGGGTTACCAGCAGGGGCATCATGATTGGGAGGGGGTGGGGCCCCAGGGCACCCTGCCGTCCTTGAATGGGCATGGGGTCCCTGTACCCTTCTATCCCTGAGGCACTGACACCAAACACCCACAGCAGGCTCCCTAGGAGGCCCTCTTGCGGTCCTGGGTCCATAGGGGCCAGGTAGATGAGCAGCTGTGGACAGGGGTTCCTGCAAAGGGTTCACATTTAAACTCAACCCAGGACGCTGACCCACTGCTCCGGAGTCCCCCACACAGGGCTCTTGGCATTCTGGGCCACAGAGCCTGGTGCCAATCAGCGTCTCCTGTGCTTGACATTGGTGGCCGGGCCTTCCCTACACACTCACTGACATCGAGTTGGTTCCGATTCACAGTGACCCTTTAGGACGACAGTAGAACCGCTCCACAGGGTTTCTGAGCCTGGAAGTCTCTATAGGCGCAGACAGCTTCATCTTTCTCTAAAGGCACAGTTGGTGGATTTGAGCCACCATCCTTGCAGTTAGCATACTAATGCTTAACCCATGGCACCACCAGGGCTCCTTTCCCTTAGGAGGGTCACTCGGCAATTTCCAGGCCTGTCAGGAAGGCGGCCTCTGCCCATCACAGCAGCCCCAGGGGGAGGGGTCACCGGAAGCAGCTACTAGTGCAGCAATTCCCTAGAACAGGAATGTGCAAGGGGGCAGCGGTGGGCGAGGTGGGGGACAGTGTCCCATACAAGCGACTGCGTCCCCCACTGCGCAGGGCAGGGTACGCCTCTCTGGTGGGTGCATGTGTGAAGCAGAGGGGATGATCCCTGTGACAAGTCCTGGAGCTGGGCTGCTTAGCCTGGCCACTCTACCTGCCAGGTCGCCTCTGTCCCCAGGAGCGTCTGCCTCTGCAGGAGGGGAGGCCAGGTGGGGCCTGTCATTGTGCCTGTCACCACCAACACATGTACGGCCATGCTATCAGAGCTTGGCCTCGCTGATGATGATGTTGGCCGTGACGAAGAAGAGGCAGGAAAAAGCCCAGAGCAACACGAAGCCCACCCAGAAGGTGTGGCGGAAGGGGGACCTGTGCTTGTTGACGGTCGCATGGCCAAAGGCCAGCTGGATGTCCTTGCGGCAGTGGTATACCAGGAAGGCGGGGATGAGATATTGGATGCCGGTGCCCGCGTAGGCCCCCGTGATGCCCACTAGGGACTCGAGGTCGTGGGTGCAGAAGGCCACCACCACAGGGGGCAACAGGGTGATGGTGGGGAAGACCACACGGTCCACCACCCAGGGGTAGGTGCCACCCTCACGGTGGAAGAGCGTCTTCCAGTTGTTGCGTAGCGTCACTGCAATGATGGGGAAGTTGGTGCTGATGGTGAAGACAGGGAAGAGACCCAGGAAGAAGCGCACAGCGGCTAGGCTCACGACGTCGCAGCGCGCAAAGTTGAGGGTGTACATGTCCAGGATGCTGTCGCCGCGGAAGCAGAAGATGGCGGTGAAGGAGAGGAGGCTGTAGAAGGCCAGGATCAGTACGTAGTCCAAGAGGACCAGCCGCGTGAGGTGACGCTTGGAGGACACGGGGGTGATGAGGGATGGCAGAGAGTGCTGGCACATGAAGGAGTACACGCACACGCCAAACAGGTTCCGGATCCCTGCGGGGTCGGCCAGTGGTGGGTGGCCCTCCCCCTGGCCATGCCCGATGCGGACCAGGGCCAGCACGATCATGATGGCGAAGGCTGCAAGAGGACGGGGTGGGGAGGGAGGGTGTCAGCCAGAGGGGCCAGTGAGGGGGAGCTGGGGACCCAGGAGAATTATGGCTAAGTGTGACCTATACCACTCCCAGGACCCATGGGCACCATCCCAGCAGGTACGGGCAGCTTCTCTAGGGGATCCCGGGCACACACACCAAGGAGGGCTCAGCACCCAGGTGGCAGCTGTCTGCTATGTCCAGTCAGGCCTACTCAGCTTCCTGTCACCTCCAGGACTTGAGGTTTGCTGGCAGGGAGTTGGCACTTAGTCCCACTCCCTCCCTTATATTTAGGGACATGTGACTGAGGAGCTGGGGGTGACAGAGGGAGAGGGACAGAGTAGAAGAGAGAGGTGTCTGGGGCCAAAGGCATCTACTAGACACTGAGGGGACATGGATCCAGGGCCTGTTCCAGGCTCGAAGCTGCCAGTAGTCACTTCAGGGAATAAGAGATTCCAGAGGCCAGAGAGCTGCTTGTACCGAGCCCTCTGATCAACTAGCATCCATCTGGTCGTCTGGACAGTCAGGGGGCAGGGCAGTGACTCGGACCCTGAAACCCCTGACAGAGCAAACAGAATTCCCTATGACCCCTTTGCTGGACAATCCACAGGGTTCATGGACACAGTAGGCTCTCATAGTAACTGAGGAGGACATGGACAAATGTCCTGGGTGTCCTAACCTTCATTGTAGCCAATGGCACCTGCAGATTCAGCAAATTCTTTCCTTGTCCCTTCTGGAACCTCCCACCTGTAGGCACACTCAAGGACCCCACAGCCCTCATAGACCCCGGGCCTCAATCCGTTGAGTGAAGCTGTGCCGACACCTGGCACCTATGGGTGAGGTGCTGGTAAACATGAGTGGACGGTGGCCCCGCAGCTGTTCTTTCTGCCCTGAACAGCTGTGTAGTGGTTACTACTGTGCCCTCAGGCCAACTCCGACTGCAGTCCCTGGCAGGAAGAGTGTCCCCTGGGACAACAGACAAGTTGACCAGAGTCTCCCACCACAGCACTTTGAGGGGGGCTCAGCAGAAATGTTACGTTATTGTTATTGCTTTTCATCAGATCAAAGGGGAGCGAGGGGCGGGCCTGCGGAAGTGGCCAATCAAGGCCATGATCCGTTTCCTCCTGGAGTTGGCGCCCATCTCAGTCATACTCCTGACAAGAAAGAGCCCTGGGACTGGCCTCACTGGTGGATATCACAAATCTTCAGCTCCGATCAGACAGGGGGGAAAGTGGGATGGAGACTCTGGGTTAATCCTCTGGGGGATGGGGGGGGAACACCACAAACAGACACCCAGTGGGCCTTCCTGTTTCCCCAGGGCCAACCCGGAACCCCATGCTGCCCAGTTTTGTCATAGATTCTTGGTGGGGGGAGCAGGTGTGCAGGGGAGGGGGGCTTGAAGGGGGTGCACATGGGTGGTGTCCATGAAGGGACAGATTCAAAGAGGGGGCTAGCGTATGGTGGCAGGGCAAGTATGTGGGGAGGTAGGGTGGGATGCATGGGGTGTGGATATGTGTAGGTAAGGGTCCATGTAGGGGTGCAGGTGTGCATGGGGGAGCCTGGCAGAGGTTTCCACTGAATGCAGGGACCTAAAGAAGGGCTAGTGGGGTCAAGGGTTGGCTGTGGTATCTGTGTCCCAGGAGCTGCGGACAAGTTGCCTCACAGGGAGGGAGCAGGGTGACGTTGAGGCTGCACACACAGCTGTGTGCTACCGCTGACTCCCCCTAGCCCAGCTAGCACAACCGGGGACAGAGGCCAGCACACATCTCAGGGGATACCTGAGGGGACAGGAAGGAGACATTCCTGCCCTTTCCAACTACCAGTCGGCTGGTGCCTCCCTGCTCAGCCTCCTCAGCTCCCAGGAGTTGTGGAAACACAGGCAGGACCTGGTCTGTCCCTGGACAAGGGAGTCACTGTCACTGCCCTGATGTGGGGTGGGGATGGAGGAAGGGGTGCATTCCGAGAAAGGGCATCAAGGATATCAAGAGAATGCACGCAGCAGCTGCCTTGGGAAGCTCTGTGTCTGAGTGTTAATAGTGATGGTAGCATTTTCTAGAACTTTCACCAAGCCATTGCTGAAAGGGATCAGAAAACTGACCTCATGAAGCCACACCGCCTATTCACCTGGTTCATGCTCTGACACGTTTCAGACAAACTTTCAACGTGTAAGCTTCCCCCTCTATCTGAAAGTAGAGCGTTCCTTGGAAACCCAAATAGCATAAAGTGGAGAAGCAATCACCAATCACTTCCATGGGAAAAACGTGAGCATGCCCAGACTCAAAATAAATAACGTCACAAATCATACCAAACCCATTCCAACTGACAGCCACCATCAGAGCTGAGCAGAACTGTTCTTAGGGTTTTGAGACGGCACTTTTCTACAGGAGCAGACAGCCTCATTGTTCTCCCAAGGAGCGGCGGGTGGGTTTGAACCACTGACCTTAAGGTTGGCAATCTGATGTACCACACCAGGGCTTCTTAATCAAACCAAATAACACCTAGAACCTCAAATCAGATACAGTTCAAAGCTACGGCGGCTTGATGTTGAGTGAGGTGATCCGGGAAGAAGCTTGCTGATTCCACTCACCAACAATAAATGTTCTTTTTCTAGTCTGGCTTTCCCCCCATAAATTCAGATTTTTTTTGGTTAATGAAAACAGGTCCTTAGTGTAGGTCTTTTGTAAAAGCACGGTGGTATAAAGTGGTGAACTTGTGAAAAGCGGGGGCTACCCACATTTCTCCCCAACTCATTAAGAAGATGCCAGCAACTCAGGGGAGCGATGGAAAGCAGCTGTTTTCAGCAGAGAAGAATGGGGTGGGCCCTGTTAACAAGCCCAGACAGTGGAAGAAAAGCTGTGTGAAGAGCAGACAGAACACTCCTGCCCAAGGTCAGGGGTTCACAGATCCTGTGGATCCTGGGCACCTCAGGGACCAAACCAGGCACTGACTGCTCGCAGGATGCTTCCACTTTAGTTGGGAGGAAGACCATGATCAGGACAGCGCAAGGAGCACGTGACTATGACTGTCAGCTGAGAAACTCCCCAAAGGAACTTGGCTCTCAAGGACAAGGACCACATGCCCAAGACCTAGCCTTTGGATTCTGGGAGAGTGCCTCTCCCCAGCTCTGTAGGGGAGCCCAGGTGACTGAGGCAGGAGATGGGGAGGATGTACCACAAGGACACAGTATGGGCAGTCTCTGGGATTGGAGAAGGAAGGAAAATGCTGCTGTTGTCAGGTTCACAGTAACCAGCACCCCTTCCACTGAGGGAATAGCAGCACAAGCGGGGGGAGATAGGTCTGTCCCTGCCCCCAGCTCTGGAGGACAAATTCAACAGCCACCTCCTAGATGGATGGTCTGTCCCAGGAGACAGCTGGTCCCCAAACTCATCAGACTGAGGTCTGATAAGAAATCAAGAGGAAATGAGTATGAGAAGCTGTGAGCAACAGACCCTGGGTTTCCTGACAGCTCACTGCCTGCCTCCCCGCCAGGCATTAGGAGCCCTGGGTGGAGATGGGAGGGAGATGATAAGCAAGCACTCTCCCCAGCCAGCTTGGTGACCAGAGGAGCAGGACTTAACCCTCCAAGGTGGTGGGGGTGGGGGTCGGCCCCCAGCAAGGGCTGCAGGTCCCTGAAGTCAGGGCCTGGTCCTTCTCTGACCTATCTTGGGGTACTCAGACCACAACCACAGTCCTGTCTTCACACCGGAAGTCACACCGGAAGTCACACTCAGAAAGGTGAGGAAATGCGGTGAGGAGCCAGGGAAGACTGGCAAGGAGGAAGGGGGTGGCAGCTTGGCACCCTGTCACATGAGGAGAGGCTGTCGGGCCTCAGAGGCTTAGCTGCAAAGTGACAAAGGGTCAGGAGACTTCTCTGTGAATATCTGAGGTAATAGCCCACTTGGAAAGACATGCACTTGTTTTGCGCAACCCACAAGGCTCAGATGGGACCATTCATTCACTCCACAAAGATGTCCTGAGTGCCCACTGGGAACCAGGGACTCTTCTGGATGTCTGGTCCCTGCTCCTCTGGAGCCCACAGCCCAGGAATTTACAGGGATAGATGACCACAAAAGAAAGACTGGTTAATGGTCATATTAGCTGGTGGGCTAGATGGTGACCCTGGTTTGGTAACCACATGCCCTGCAGGGTATTTGTTTCTGTGAAGAGCCTCACCTGTCGGCAATCTGCCTCAGACCTTGCCGGGGTCTCCTAGTTCTAAACCTGTCACCTGTCCCAGGGCACTCAGAATGCTGGAGACTTAGGGTAAGGCGACCATTGTTTGAAGCCTTCCTGTAAAGTTAAAGGACAAGCAGACCTGAGTCTCCTTGAGCTGTGACCGCGCAATGAAATGCCCTATGGTCCTAGGCTGGTGGGTCATGGGGCTGATCCTGATGGAAGTGTAGCCAGAGGGGCTTTTCTGGAATTTGGCTTGGCTGGCCCAGAAGTCCTGACCCCTGGCACTTGAGGGCATAAAAAAACGCAGCCATCATGGACGATGCGGGCAGATGTCCACTCAGACGAGACCACATGCTACATGCCTACCACTCCTGATCCCAAGTGCCCGAGGAGCACAGATGTGTGGGCTATGGCTCTCAGGACTAAGCATGAACCACTGGACTCTTGCATCAAGTAAGCTGAGCCACAGTTGGTGGCCTGAGACAGGATGTTGCAGAAGCCAGTGTCCTACTGTCCCCTGGCAGGGCTGTTTCCTGGGGAGATGTCCTCTCAACCCTAACTGCAGCACGTGGCCCAGGTGACCCCCATCCCAACACGGGGGGCAGGATCCAGCCTGGGCTGTCCCAACATCAGGGTGTTCTCTCAGACTAGTGCATGGCTGTGGACCAGCTGTGACGCAGGCGTGGTGGAGAGCCATTCATCAAGTCTGCGCTCCCTTCTCCAAGCAGAGAATCAATATGCCAATGCTAATGATAAAGGATGAGGCAGGCTCTCAGCCTCTGCCTCAGGCAGAACTCTCAGAGCGTGGCTGGG